TAATTCTAGTTTTATAATTTAGAACAAAAAAACTTATAAGAAAAGTCAAATAGTTGTGGCAGTGACAAGTAGTTGTGTGAAAATCACTTTTGCGCTTAAAGGGGTTTAAATTAGAAATATAGTTACAAACTTAGTGATTTGTTTCAGTCCAGTCTTATTTACTAACGCTACTATTAATTGCATTCTAAGACTTAAATTAAATTAATTAAAACTAAACTGTATGTCTGTATTATAATATATAATATAATATTTTAGTTAAAACCTCAAGTTATTAGATAGACGTGCACTTTTGATTGTGGTTTAAAAAAAAGATTCATTCTGTTTGAATAAGTACACCATTTTATGTTAACATTCCGTACACAACTCAAAAATCAAAGCTAATAAAGCAGTTCAGTATAAGTTATAATAATAATTATGTCTCGCTTTAAAAATAGCCGAAATACTTAAAAAAAAAAATATATATATACATTAAATTATAGAGCATTATTTTGTGGCATTCATTAACGTAGTTTTAAATGTACAAATATTTAGGAAAGACTCTGAGGTGGTACATGCAGATCGAAGTTCATTATCATTAAATAATCGGCTTGTTTGGATACCTGGAAAATCAAATACTTGTAAGCATAACAATAGTGAGAGTATAATTAAATTATCATATTACTATACTATATATTATTATTTCATACATATCAAAAATTTAACAAGTAATTTAATGAGATCATCCGGTGGGTTTCTTTGATCACAAAATGAAAATATATTTATGAATAATTTGGAAACACTTTTGATAGTAGACATTTTTTTTTTTAATGTATTCTTAGCTTACAGTAATAATAGAAAAATAAACAATTCGTCTACAAGATCGACTCAGTATGGCGAGACCACGGATAATTTGAATCATAATAATGTCTTGAAAACAAACAATACTTATACCATCATTAACATTGCATTCAACGGATCATCACAAGAAGTAAGGCAGTACACCATAAAGTTATAAGTAGGAATTTTTACATTTTTTGCGACAGTATCAGTTATGTCTAAAAAAAAACTGTTAGTTATTACTCAGTAATTGTATTACAAATACTCATTAAATCTGAAATATAAGAATTTGTTTTCTTTTCCAATAGTATATTATTATACTATTTATATTTACTTTAGAAAGTACCAATTAATTCATTGGCAGAGACAAGACAAGTTATTGTTCTTGATCGACCACAGAAGAAAATTGCAACCAAGAAAAATGATTGTTATTTGGTAAATAGTAATCACTTATTATAACTTATGAATTAAATTAAAATACTCATTATTTATATTGAATATAGTATGATATAATAAGATTGGGTTCGCACATAAAATGTGAAATTAATTTAGAATTTTTTTTTTAATCAACTAACAATAGCAATCATCAATGCAATTATGTAGTTTTATATAAATTAAACAATCCATGTAATGTTTGTATTTTTGTAAAGTGTAGCTTTATGTCTTTTGAGAGATTCGGAGCATTGATTTAGTTACAGTTTTTGCTCAAATGAGATCAGAGGCTGAGCTGTGGTAACATGTATAGGACTTAACAACAATGTATAATACAGCCGTTATTTTCAGACTTGCGTGGAATGTTTTTTGATACGTAGAAGGGCTTTTTTTTATTAAACCAACAATTTTATGAGATTATTCATATTATTATTCTGTGAATTCTTAAATTTGGACCCCGTGTTGGTTTCAATAAAGTTTTTTGAAGGTTCAGCTTAGTGTGCCTCGAAGTTTTAATCGTGAGTTTAAGAAACATCTATATAATATAATATAAGTTCTAGAAAACGAGAATTTAGTTTAGGTTTTGTGTTGTGGAGAAGGTGCGTTCAAATAAAATTTATCGAACCGGATACCGAAGAGTGCATTGTAGTTGGTAAGTTTGAAATTAAAATGTTGTGAAATGTAACTCGTTGACAAATGTAGCTTTTGAGATAAAATATGATGTGACTTGATTTGCTTCGTTATTCTTTACATTCTAGTTTTGACACCAGATTTCAATAGGAGAAATATGTGATTGGACATAATAAGATACAGTTATTGGATTTTTGTGAACTGAGAGAATTGCTCTATCGTTAGAATATATTATATTCAGTGACAAGAATATAATAAGAAGAAGTGAGTTGATCAGATATACAAATGTTATATAGGAGAAGAGAGCTGTAATTACGCCTCGGGGAATTCTGGATTGTATTCTAGAAGTGTCTGAGAAGCAGGGGTGATATTGAACAAAGAAATGACAATCATTGACGTAGGATCTAAATTTAAAAGAGTAAGAAAAAGTAGGGGTATGCGATTTTCAATTTTAAAGAGGAAGCCTGATCAAACGCCTGTAGGATATCGATAATATTATTTATGGTATTGAAATTTAATACAATAGACTCGAGAGCGTCAGAGGAGCTCAGAATTCTTTTTGAAAAATAAAAATTAGATATAACAATAGAGGAACAACTGAGAAGGTACAAATTGTAATTAATTTGAAAAAAAAAATTAAAATATTGATAAAATAATTTATTTTA